CCTGGTGGGCCTGGTGGGCCTGGCGGCTGTGGTGGTCCTATTGGTACAGATTTACATTTTTGATACGTTATTAATATGTTAATGCCCGTAAATCTTTACCTGGTGGCCCTGGTGGGCCTGGTGGGCCTAGTGGCTGTGGTGGTCCTGGTGGCGTTCCACCGCCTCCTATAAATTCAATAGACATTTTCGTTATATTATCAACGTATTCAATATTCTCAACCATCAAAGTTGAAGATATGCTATGCTATATCTTTTTGTGAGAATTGTATGAAATTCTTAATAAGAATGTGCAAATTTCAACTTTGATAAAAGAAAGTTGGTTTTCATGATTAATTTTTGCAGTTGCCTCATCTCAAATAGCGGATATAGCGGCTGGGTGTCTGCAGCGAAATCATCGATCGGATTAAATTCTAAAATTGTGCTGAATACACGAATCAGTTCCAATTTATCGATTGTGAGAAAATTCCCAATAAACTGGGCATATATAACTGAACTCTTCCTTGGCTATTTTTAAGTGGGCAGAATCGCTATTTGCATGATAATAATAAATTCCGTACCACACGCGGCTATGAAATCCATACTGACGACAACATTCGACGTGCCTGTAGTGGTCATACACACGTTGAGCGGTCAATATATACACACAATACAGACACGCTAGCATAGGATTTATACGTTTTGCGCGAATAGCTACTTGGTTATTGGCCATGCATACGCTTGTATGATTGAAATCTTAAACTTATATCACAAGCGTCGTGTCAGTAGAGCTCGTCTTATGTTTACATAATGTTTTTCAAAAGCAGCTTCTTACCTCCTCCGCCGCCTCCTCCCCCGCCGCCGCCTCCTCCTCCACCGCCTCCTCCTCCGCCGCCGCTAATGTCAAAGAAAATGGGGCCAAAACCTCCATTGCCCCAGCCTCCATTGCTCCAGCCTCCATTGCTCCAGCCTCCATTGCCCCAGCCTCCATTGCCCCAGCCTCCATAGCCCCAATTTGGTCCCCCGTCCCATCTATTGTGATGCCAATAATCTGCAATGAGACAAACAAACAAATAAATAAATGAACAAATATTTAAAGCAACACTTCATGTATGAATTTCATTTTGCATTACCGTCGTGGTGGTCGTAATTGCCTGTAAATCAAAAAAATACAATTTACTCAGATGTTTCACATATTGTACCTCATTGGAATAGCTTTCGCGATAAAAGTTTCAAAAAGCCGATTGATTTGGTATTCTTCTCACCCATTTCTTTCTTACCATGATAACCGAAGTAATTATTTACTGGCTGCAGATTATTATTATTGTTATTATTATTGTTAGGGTCTGATCCTGAAAACCATGCAAATTCATATCAATTTGAATTTATTTCGACTGTATTCCGATATTTGGGTAATTTAATTCGCACACATACCTCCTCCATTTGAGACACCATGTACAACATGCACTGGATGGCTCTCATAATGTTGAGAGTGATGATGATATTCTTCGGAGGATTCTTCGGATGAGGATGATGACGATGATGAGTCGCTTTCGTGGCTGTGTTCGTCGCTGTCATCTGAAAACAATTCATTCATTTAGTTATGTAGCATAGATGGCGCTATACGCCGCCTCACCTGCGACAATGTAACTATCATATAAGAGCAAATAATAAAGACAGTCGTTAACTAGCATTCAACGGGTACACACTCATTCATACTACATGGCGACAAGGTCGAAAGAACATAAGCGCGTGCGTAAGAAAAAATAAAAATCGCGAAAAAAATCCAAGTAATCGGATGAAATTAATTAAAATAATATACATCTAATGAAGCTGAGGTCACAGACTAGAAAGGAAAAAGTCGGCGATTTGCAAAAAACAGCCAAGAAAAGTAAAAATTTGTTGATTGAAGAAAGGAGAGAAAAAATTGGAACACGCACTGCGGAGAAAGGTTTGAAAGCAGTTTTGAAGAGAATAAAACCAAGCGACGTTGTTGTAAATCGCGTAGAAATCGAAGACTACAGAAAGGAAAAAAGAGAAAAAGAAAAAAGCAGAAAGGAAAGAAGAGAAAAAGAAAAAAGCCGAAAAATGACTGACCACATGTACATTAAACCCGTTGATCCATTGAAATTGGATGGAAATTTGAACGAGAATTGGAAGAAATTCAAACGCAACTACGACATTTTTGTGATTGCCATCGGAATGGGAGAGAAAACCGATCCAGTAAAAATCAACACATTTTTGAATGCAGTGGGTCCCGAAGCCGTCGAAATTTACGATACATTTGATATGACTGCCGTACAGAGAGCAACTTACAACGATGTAACGAAAGCATTTGCTGATTTTTGTGCCGCACGAAAAAACACCGTTTACGATAGGTACATGTTCTACAATCGAGACCAGAAAGAAGGAGAATCGTTTGATGCCTTTTTGATGGACATCAAATTGCTGGTGAAATCTTGCGAATTTAATCAAGCAACAAACGAAATGTTACGGGACAGAATCGTCATGGGCATTACCGATAAAAAATTACAAACGAAATTATTGGAATCAAATGACCTAACATACGATGCAGCCGTTGAAAAATGTCGTGGAGCAGAGGCAACAAAAGAGCACACCGAAAAAATGAGTAAAATTAAATCTCAAGAAGTCAACGAGTTGAAGGGAGACGGTGCACAGTCAACACAAACGTACAAACAACACAGTAAGAATACGAGACAAAGTAACAACAACAAGCACAGACAGAACGATAAGAGAGCAACCACGTGGCAAGGCAACACACAGTACCGTTCGAACGCGAGCCGAAACAGTGGCAACAGCAACAGCAGAGGTAGTAACAACAACAGTGAAAACAGCCGAAACAACACCAATCAATCCAAATGCAAACGATGCGGATACAATCACAATTTCAACGACAAATGTCCAGCTCAGGGAAAGACTTGCAATGTATGTTCTAAGCCCAATCATTTTGGAAGCGTTTGCAAATCGCGCAGCATAAATTCAATTGAATATGGCTTTGCAAACGATAACAACGATTTTTACATTGGGGCACTTGAACGAAATGTAACAAACACAGCCGGAGATGTGATTGCAACAAGGTGGTTGGAAAGAATTCGCATCAATGATCAACTCGTGGCATTTAAAATTGACACTGGTGCTGAAATGAATGTATTGCCGTTACACATTTTCAGACGATTGATGTTTGGTTCGAACGAGGGTTTGCGATTCACAAACATGACATTGAGAGCATTTGGTGGACAAACGATAAATCCAGAAGGTATGTGTTCATTGATTTGTTCCTTTAAAAATATGAATTTGAGAGTTGTTTTCGCCGTCGTTGATCTTGATGTGACCCCTATACTTGGTTTGGCGACATGCACAGCATTTGGCATCGTCAGCCCACCGCGCACACGCAACAACACAAACAGAATAAATCGATACAATTTTTGACTAGAGGCACTTTGCGCGAACATTGATAAATCGTACGTTTTCAAGCATTATTCAGAATTATTTGAGGGTCTGGGCACATTTGATGGTGAATATAGAATTTTGTTGAAAAAAGACGCTCAACCAGTAGCGCATGCACCAAGAAAGGTACCGCTCGCAATAAAAAGTAAATTAAAAATGAGATTAAATGAGTTAGAAAGGAATGGAGTAATTGAAAAGGCCGATGAACGAAGTGAATGGGTGCATCATCTAGTTACAGTAGAAAAGAAGGATTTAGAAAGATCGCTGAGATTATGTATCGACCCGTCTGAATTGAATAAACAAATATTGGATGAACAATCGTATATTCCCACATTTGAAGAATTTTCATCGAGTGTGAATGGAATTAAATATTTTTCCGTGTTGGATTTAAAAGATGGTTTTCATCAAGTGCGCTTAGCAGAGGAGTCGCGTAATTTGTGTACATTCGCTACACCATTTGGCAATTATCGATACATTAGAATGCCTTTTGGCATTAAAACGGGTCCGAAAGTATTTCAAAGAAAGAATTTTGCTAATTTTGGTGACATTAAAAATGTGCACGTGTATTTTGATGACATATTTATTGTGGGCAAAACAAAACAAGAGCATGACGAAGCATTGATTAAAGTTTTAGAAAGGGCTAGAGAAAAAAATGTAAGATTTAATGAAAAGAAAATGCAAATTGCAAGCGAGTCGGTGAAATATTTGGGCCATATATTTTCGTTAAATAAAATTGAGCCAGATCCAGAAAGGTTAGAAGGAATAAGAAAAATGACGAGCCCGAAAAATAAAAAAGACTTACAGACATTTATGGGTGTGATTAATTTTATGAGGCCATTTGTTGCGAATTTATCACAGAAAGCAACTGTGCTAAGGGAACTGCTAAAGAAGAATGTGATATTTAAATGGACAGAGTTGCACACAAAAATATTCAATGACATAAAAAATGACATTTTATCGGCAAATATTTTGGTGCCTTTTGATTCGACAAAAGAACTTGTTATACAGTGCGATGCGTCTCAAGATGGATTGGGTTGTTGTCTGTTACAGGACGGTAAACCAATTTCTTTTGCGTCAAGAAGTCTCTCACCAACTGAGCAAAACTATTCACAGATAGAAAAGGAGATGTTATCGATTGTATTTGCATGCACTAAATTTAATTATTTTACGTACGGTCGAAAAATTCGTGTTGTCAACGACCATAAACCATTGTTGGGCATCATGCAAAAAGACATACACAAAATCGTATCGGCAAAATTACAACGTATGCGCATTAAATTGTTAAATTATGATGTCAATCTTGAATATGCACCGGGAAAAACCATTCATTTAGCCGATTATTTGTCGAGATATATAAATATTAGTGACGATAGTGAAGAAGAGACAAGCATTACACACGCCATATTGTCAATAAATGTAAGCGATGAAAAGAAGAGAGAAATGCAGAAAGAGACAGAAAATGATGATGTACTAAGAAAGGTAAAAGAGTACTGTAAAAACGGATGGCCAAATGATAAGAAAAAATGCCCAGAGCCCCTCAGATTTTTGTTTAGATTGAAAAATGATATTATTTTGGAAGATGATTTGCTATTTTATAATGAACGTATCATTATACCAAAAAACATGCGAAAATTAATTTTGAAGAAGCTACATGAGCCACATTTTGGCATAACGAAAACGATTGAGAGAGCGAAGTCCTCTGTGTATTGGCCGAATATAAATAATGATATTGAGCATGTAACGACCCGATGTAGAATTTGTCAAGAAAATGCACCTAAAAATAGGAAAGAGCCCATGATTCCGCATGAAATTCCTAGCGGCCCATTTATGAAAGTAGCTTGCGATATTTTGTATCATAAGGGGAAAGATTATTTAGTTGTTGTCGATTACTATTCAAAATGGATAGAATTGATAAAGTTAAGAGACAAAACAGCACGCACAACCAATCTCGAGTTAATAAAACTCTTTGCTCAATTTGGTTATCCACATATTGTAATTGCCGACAATATGCCTTTCGGATCGTTCGAAAGTAAAGAATTTACGAGAGAAAATGATGTGAAAATAATTAATAGTTCCCCGAATTACGCACAATCGAATGGAATGGCCGAAAGAATGGTGCAAGTCTGTAAAAATATTCTAAAAAAGTCGAGCTCAGAGCAAGACATTTACAAGTCATTGCTCGCATACAGAACTACACCAACAAAATACATGAATCATACACCAGCGCAGTTAATGCAAAATCGTAACTTGAGATCGAATATTCCAATGCATGTCAATAAATTCAAACCATTTAATAGTGTCAACGTTGCGAAACAACACGAAAGAAAACAAACACTCTCAAAGAAGTATTATGATATTGGAACGAGACAACGAGCACCCTTCGAACCAAATGAAAAGGTTCTTTTCATAAATAATAAAAAATGGCAGCATGGCATAATTATTCAAGCCTGTGCTGAGCCTCGTTCGTACTTGATTCAATCTGAAGATAGAGTGTATCGCAGAAACAGCAACCACATTAAGAAATTTTTTGAAAACAAAACAGTAATAAATAACGACATTAATCGAAACACTTTCCAGCAGCCTTCACAGCAACGAATCACACGAAGCGGCCGACGATATTAGCATTAAGCAATTTTTTTTTTTTTTTTTGTTATTCTCAATTTCGTTGGTTTTTTTTTTTTCTGATATTTAAGAAGGATGGAATCGAATGAAAAAAAAGGATAGAACTAGATTTCATCCGAATGTCAAACTAAATGTAAGAAAATGAAGTAATTTTTTTGGAATGGAATTAAATGTAAATAAAGAATAAAATAAATTTCATTCTAAAAAAATGGGGGAGATGTAGCATAGATGGCGCTATACGCCGCCTCACCTGCGACAATGTAACTATCATATAAGAGCAAATAATAAAGACAGTCGTTAACTAGCATTCAACGGGTACACACTCATTCATACTACAAGTTATAAGCATTTCTCATCAATTTTTTCTCTTTTAGTTGAAATAAAACCTAATAATTACCTTCATTATGATTGTGAATATGAATATTAGGTGAATTACATCCATGAATTCCGCACGGAATTTGGCCAGGTGGTTTGAGCAATCCGAAAATCTTATGGAATGGACCTGGCTGTGCGAATGGCTGTTGATATTGCTGATATTGGGGGTATTGTTGATATTGCGCATATTGTGGATATGATCGCACTGGTTGCACTTTTTTATCGGTTCGACCTTTTTGAGCCGAACATTCGGTCGCTGGAATACACTTCTCTCCATGTCGCACCAATCCGACTTTGCAGAAGCATCCTTTGACACACTCAGTTTTTTCACATTCTTCTTTCGAAAGCGTGATACCCAATGCGGATGAGGCGAATCGACAGCTCAGCGCACACTTGGTGCCACACTCTTGGAACACTTCATTTTCGGCACAATCATCCGTTTCGTTGGATGCCTTGAAAATCTTCAAGAATTTCTCGGCATCAATCAAAACGGTCATCTTTTCTTCAAGATTCACATTTCGCGCATTAATACCTAAAAAAACACAAACGATTTTTATTTCAAACTTTGAAACTTAAATTCTAAAACTTTTAATTTTCAGTAGATCGAACTATTGATTTAATCAACTCGAATTAGATATGACTTCAATTTACCTAACACTAAAAATGTGCACAAAACTATTGCCACTGGCAAATTGGCCAGTTTGAACAGAGACATGGTGAACGATCGACTTTTCGTTCGACGCCACTTCACCAACTGTTTAAAATTTCAGCCGATGTATTGCTTTTTATATGTTGCCGGTGGATGATATCAAACTCTCACAACTTTCTCTATCCATCTCTTTCTTCTCTCGAACATCCCATTTAGAATATGTGTTACGCATTTAACGAGAATATTCAATATATATGCAAATTCGAGAATTTATTAAGAAAACACAAATAAAATTCAAATTAAAATGATTCAATTTGACTACTTCATTTCCTACTTGGTTTCGGTGCGTTTGGCAGAAGTGCGTACAAGGGAAATGCCGTCATTCAGAAGAGAACAGCAAAATAGAATATTTAAAAAACGGTACATTGGAATACAAATTTGGCATAATCGATTAGTAGTTTTTGGAAACAGTCCAATTGTTGGGGGAAATCAATTAAGCAAAAGCCAGTTAGGCTATCGCGATTACGGCCTCTATTCATCACGCAACGAAGACGGCGAAGAAAAATGGATGATACTAATTTATGCGCATTGATCTACTTTGTAATCTAACGGAAGATGTGTATGTCTATTGTGATTCTTCATGCAGCATTACAAGATGTTTATGTTGAGAGTGCCAAAAACGTTGACTTATCATATTCATTTGAAGTTCAAAATTTGAGCTTGAAATTATGAACGTATACTTTTTGTTGATTGGGAGCTTAAGGGTCTTGAATTTCTTCAAAAGTCATTTGGTCACCAAAACTATTGATTACCGTGAAATATTGACACCAATTTGATTGTATTTTATTATGTTTATTAGCGTTAGCTCTTTTAGTTACATTTGGGTTTATACATTGAAATTTTCCATTATATGCTTTTTAAATCCCGTTTTAAAAGAGTTTGGCGACGGTTTTTCTCTTATATTTATTAGAAGCTCATTATACATTTTGACTCCATAATAGAATATATTCTTCCTGGTTTTTTTCATATTTAAAATTTGGTCTTAGTTCATTATTTGTTCTCTGCCTTGTGTTTCTGATGTGAGGTGTGTCTATTGTATAAATTAGGTTGTCAATTAAATATTCTGGGAGAAGCCCATTTCTCATTTTTTATATATAAATTAAAACCTAAAATTTTATCATCTGGTCAATGCTTAGCCAACTTAAGGTTTTTAACATCCATTCTCGGTGTGTACGATATTCACAGTTTAAAATTAATCGCATTGCTCTATTCTGAATTTTTTGCATTTTTTCTATTTCGTCTTGGTTACATGTAAAATATATGGTTGAACAACCACATGGCAAATTAGGTAAAATAATTGAGTTATAGATATGAATCGAAAGAGCATAAAGTTTTTTTTCACTTTTGATTTCTTCATTTTACAAGTTTTTGTCATTTTATGAAGAATTATCTGTTTGATAAAAAAAAAGCAATTTCAAATCGATACATCTAATACAAGAGACTTTTACTGATAATGTGTTGATAGATCGTGTTTGTTTTTGGTTTTCGTTTTTTTGTACGCGCCATTTGCATCAAATTGGATTTGTTATATCTTTTATTCACATTCATAAGTTGATAAAATTATCAAGATCTTAACATATTAGAACATTATTATTTTCTTACATCCCATCTTCCGGCATGATAGATAATCTACGCATTTTCAACGGTATTTTTTTGCCAGGATCAAAGAAAGAAGTGTTCAAAATTATAATTCTGATTTGACATCAAACTATTTTGCATAAGAATTGTGCGAAAAATCCTTCAAAAGGTGGTGAAAGTTTGTGCAATTTTTTGGAGAACATTCAAACCTAAATTGATTGCATTATTAACGGACGGTTGACGGATTAGTTTCAAAGTGTAACAATGCCGCGATGCCGAATCGTTTCATCGCTTTTAATTGGATATCTCAGCTAAGCGTTGCATTAATTTCACTTTGGCATCGTTCAAGAATGCACGAACGTCATCCATATTGGCCTTGTTGGCAGATAATTTGCTAATCAACTCTTCGAGCTTGATCTCGACTATTTTGATGACTTCACGCGACTTCTGCGATTCGACCTTTGGTATCAATTCAGTGAGTTGATTTTTCCCCTTTTGTAATGTCTCATGAACAACACCAATGTCACCTTTGGCGACGGCCGTACTCAAACCGTCGAGCAAACTTTGCAACGCCGTAGCAATGTCGCTTCCTATTTGAATGAGAGGAAAATTGGAAGAAAGGTTAGAACGGTTTTTAATAAAAAAGAGAAGAAGGAGAAGAATTTTTATTTCGAATCAAACATTTGGAAAGAATAAAATCGAATTTTGGTCAAAAAAATAATTTAACCTGGTCTTTCATCAGCAAGTACCGTAGTCATTGCTACGAAGCCAATCACAAACAAAGGAATAACAACAAATTTCATATCGGAAATTTAAAAAATATTTTTACAAAACAAACACTTCAAACCGTTTTAAGGTAAAAGATTTAGTTAATGAAACGACGATCACAACTTTACTGATGCATTTCATCCTCCTTTTATACTCTGGTTTTTCGATCCAATGACCAAAAGTCCAAAGCAATAATGTCTACTCGTTCCAGTTTATTAATTACTCTTTCATCGGAACTAGCTTCATGATTTTATGCCATTTTTATCATTAAATTCAATTTTGTGTTTCCGGTTTGTGTGTCCGCGGACAGAAATCTTTATTTTAATATCAACGGTTAGCTCATTTAAAGCATATTACATAATTCAACCATTAAGTTTTGATGATGTATTTCTAATGGATTCCGATTTCCGGCTGATTATGTTAATTTATCGCCAAATTAACTTAAAACGCCGAAAACATCAAAGTTTAATGATCACATTTGCGATTCAACACGAAACATTTGGTGATGAAGAAAAATTTAAATGTCAATCAAATGGCCAATATTTGTGCAATCATAATTTTGCACAAAGTCCAGTTTTATCAATGGAATAATAACACAATGATTTAGTTTGGTTTGTAGAAGTACGTCACATTCACGTGCAAATAGTGATTGAAATGGCTTAAAAGGGATTCATTTCATTCGACATTCACTACACCTAGTGTGAAGAAGAGTAAAATCAAAATTTCCGAAACAAAACAGCCGCAAAATGATTCATGATGCGCTTGCAACATTGTGTTGCTCCAAAATACTCTCAAGGTCAATCGAAACATTTGTGTATATTTGGCTGGCGTTAATGAATGATTCAGCTCAAATCATTTGAACAAATTTAAAATTATTCTAGATGATATGAGAAGTTTTTTTTCTATGGTGAGTGACCATCTATTAATAGCTATGGATGGATCAGATCAGTAATGGAGAATTGAAAGAACGTGTATACAATACATACGTGTTGGATATACATATCCAACTTCCGAAGACGAATCGATACCATGAAGAACATGAAGAACAAAACGAAATCGTTGATTTTTTTTCATTCTTTCAATTTAAAGTTTCTCAAAGTGATGGTGTGAAGCAATGGTTTATGAACCCATTTTGTACCAGCGTCCTATTTATAGGACGCAAAAATTGCCGATTTTATTATGACTTATTTTAGATTTTCTCCTATCCTGATCAAACGGCTTGGAATTTCCAAATGCCGTTTTACATGTGTGTTGAAAAGGTTTGAAACAGGTTTTCCCAGATTCTCAAGGTTTTCCAACTTACAGTTTTCCGGAAAATGCCGGAAAATTGCGAAAATTTAAAACGTGTCGGAAAATTCTGAAACTTTGGGAAAATCATATTTGGGCTTTCAGAATTCTGATACTTAAGTATCTCACCTAAATTTCATCAAAAAATTCGAAAAAAAAAATTCCTTGGTAGAAAATGGGTTAAACAAATTATTCTTTTTGTTGTGGGTCGTCAATGAAGTTTCATAATCTACCTCGTTTGTATGGGTCAAAAAGAGATGTTATATCGAACGGAAGCAGTTATTATTGTGATAATTGGTAATTACCAAAGGATGTGAATTCGTTCAAATCAAATCGGACATCTAACCAAGCATCAAACCATGTAATACTTAGAGATATGTTGTTACAACATCGTACTTGAATATGACTTACTAGTCCATGTAAAAGATGAGATGAAAAAAAAGACGTAACAAAGAAATGGAATCGAATTAAGCACAATTCAATTTTAATTTTTTTTTGGTCAACATCAGTTTTGCACACAAGTTTGCTGCAGTTTTTTTTCTCCATTTTATCCGGTATTGAAAAAGAATCAACTGACCAGATGAAATTTGATTGAACAACTCGTGTGTGTAGCAAATGACATCAAGTCATGTCTTTGATTGGATGGACTCACCAGAAAGATAACAGAGTATAACACTGTGAATTGAGCTGGATTAAATCTTGGTAGTGGTAGTTCATTTAGACATAATAGCGTCCATTTTATTGAATACATACTGTCTATGTACGTGTATTACACACTTTGAACGGAAGTAATTACCTTGAGGTGACACAATATTTTGCATATCAATATATTTGATACGATCAAGCGATAAAATGAGGAGCTACAAATTCCAAATAGCACTGAAAATGAATGAATGAAAAAATTTGAATACAGTAGACTCTCGGAAAAATCAACAAAAATGTATACGGAGTAGTTGGAATTAGAAAAACCTTGTCTTTTTCATCATTTTGGAGTGATTTGTTGAACTTTATTTATAACAATAAGAAAAATATTTGGTCTACATCTTTTCCATTGTATTAAATTTTCATTTTTTATTGCAAAAATCGAATTAATTAAATAGAAACCATCAATCTAATGAGTAATATCAGCAAGAACAAACGAATTTAGAAACATTTTCTTTTTAATTATAAATTTAACTGCTTTCATCGATTCTTCTGGACGAATTTCAATTAGTTTTCTTTTCCTGTGTGAATTCCTTGATGCGATCGCTTAAACGTTGCTTAAACTTGTCTTTTGCATTGTTTATAAATGCCTTAACATCATCCAGGCTGCCTTTGCCCGATGACAATTTTTGCACTAATTGAGCGATGTCAGCTTCAACTTTTGTGAGATTCTCGCGAATCTTGTCACTGTTAACTTTTTGAATCGATTCCTTCAATCGAGCCTCACCGGCCTTCAGGATTTCAGTAAGTTTAGTCAAGTCACCAGTTCCCAAGTTTTTCTGCAAATTGTCGAGCAAATTTTGCAAAGTGGATGCAACTGGATCCCCTGTCGATTATAAAGGGTTAGAAAGTGTTAATTTCTGAATCGATTTAAATCGATTTTAGTCGAAAATTTCAACCTTTTTTGTACAAAATGTGGGCATTTTAAAAGCAAACAAAATGAATTGAAATTCAAATTCATACGTTTTTTTCAGTAGTTTAATTACCATTTCCAGCAGTGTCATCACAAAGAACGACAGCTCCACAAGCGAACAAAAATACGACAACAATAAACGACTTCATTATTCGATTTGACCAAAGAGATACTTATTTCAAACTGTTTACTGGCGTTGAAGAACTATTCTTACAGTTGCACAACCAAATTCAAATGGTGACTGACATAATTCGTAGAGATGGGCCCTATTTATATGCTAAATAATTGACTTTGTTTACATGACGCATGCAATTTTGTTTTCGTGGTTAATTAGTTTGATTTTGTTTGATCAGCAGATGGTAAAATGACCCAAGTACCACCAAATCAAGAGACACGCACAGCACATAAGAGCTAATGCAAAAGTCAATTGATGCGCATAAGTAGCGCCACCTCTAATGATTACGGAGAGTTACCATAAGTCGCATGCAATTGATGTTGAGAAGAAGAAGAAGAAACAGACATTCTATTCATTTACATCGCAATAATGGCAATCAGTAGAGATGGTGCTCATGTGCCGATCATATCACTGTTACAACCCTTCGCACCAAATAGGCGAATATTGCCGTGTCATGATAAGCTTATAAACATTGTGTAACACCGGCAATGACACGCCATGAAGGTCAATTTTGTTTTCATCAACATCTAATGGGTCATTCGCGAATGAAGAGTGAACGAAAAAAAATTATTGTAAATTACAACTAAACAAAACCTGTTAAGACAGTGACGTATGCGCAAAAGTAATTAATTGGCAATTTGAACAGCGCAAGCGATTTTGAGATTCAAAAGATTGACTTCCATTTTATGTGAATGTAGAAAACAACAAATTGTGATTTTAACTCCAAAATTCAAATTCGGTCAAATAAAAAGATTTGGCAAGAATGAAAAATTAGATGCTGATTACCTTTGATGCTGCACCTTATAAAACTCTATAAATTGCAAGCAGTACAATCAGATCATCGAGAAACTTCCAAAAAATTGGTGTTGTTCGCAAGATTACGATTTTGAATACTCACCATGGTGCTCACGAAATTAACTCGCAATTAATTGAAAAGAAAATACAGGGTAAGACGTAAAAGTGGTCAAGAAGAGGAATTGAACCAAAACACGTGTTGATAGACTTGTCCATGTTTATTTGCATCTATTCACAGTTTTTTTTTTTGAAATCATGGAGATAATAGAGGATTCATAAAAAAAGATTTGGAGGATTCCTTCCAACAATGACAGCAGACTTTTTAGTTTTAGTTGATAAATTTGTTCAAGAAACAATTTTTCGATGGAGTTTACCATTCAGTTTCTCGGAATAATAAAAAAAAAAGTTGATAAACTAATTAGGCTCTCGGAATCTTCTCCAAAAGCTGTGCGGACGAACGATGTCTCGTGATGTTTGACGTTTTAATTCGATCAGTTCCAACGAGGTATCTGTTGTTGCCCATTTTGTTGCCAAGTAAACACGTTCATTGACGTAAATGGTCAACTTGCGCGCTCCCGCCAACTTCTTGCGATCCTTATTCAGTGCAGCGATATCGAGAACTTCTCCTTCGAAATCAGCGATTTCAACGTCTTTTAATTTTATCGATCGACGAATGAACGGCATCAAATCGTCTGAGCCGGTGATGAAAAGCTGCTCCAGATTGATGAAACTGGTGGCCATGGCATCCGTGTTGATGTGTGTGCCAACGCGATTGAGGATACCAAGCTCTTTGATGTTGGGCAAAACGGGAAATTCAGGATTTCCATTTCGAATCGGATAAATGTACAGCGTAACGAGTCCGGGCAACGAAAGTAATTGTTTAGCTGATGTTGTGCTGTTGCGTTCAGATCTAAAATGCAATCTTTTGAAGAAGCCTTTCTCATGAAGGTCATTCAAGAAACCAATGGTGGTATCGATGTCTTTGTTCATATCAATAGCCATGTCATCAACGTTGGCATCGCAGATCAAATCTCGACTGTCCCATAGTATATTTGCACCGATTTGAAGGCTTCTAAGATTTGGGCAATGCTCGAGAAAATTCTTCAATTTTTCGCTATGCGATGAATCTCTCGTACGCAATTCCAAGTGTTCGAGTGTTGGATGTTTTCGAACTGGCCAAGCAAATGATTCAGCAATGTCCAGAATCTTAGTCGCTTCAAGTTCGTACACGATTCAAACGTTCGCCAAATGTCTTCATCAAATTTGCAGCAAACCAGCTCCAAGCTGTCAGTATAGAAAAAACCGAGCTGCTTGATTTCGGCTTTGCAGTTGGTTTCAATGTAATCAAACGCTGAATTGAGTGTGCCCCGACAGAACCCAATTTGTTTGACAAACTCGTTGAAACCATCCATTCTTTTGTCATTGATGTAAATGCCATCTTCGTAGCAATAAACTAAAGCACTCACGTATTTCCATTGGAAATATTCGCCGGTGACACGTTGAAAAGCCTTGCACGTTTGACCAAACGAGTGCACATCCTCCAGCGACAGGCAATCGAGTACGTCATCCCAGCAATCGGTGTCCAATTTGAAGACCGACGGTCGAGGCTCGCCATTCGATGCAATTGCTCCTGATGTAGCCACTTGATTTTGGTTCTGCACGACGGCTTGCATTTGGTTATTGTCATCAACGTCTTGTTGGCTCATTCTGGAGTAGCGACTTCAATTTCGATGTGTGCGAGTAACAATTTGTGATCTTTCTTCAGTCTACAGAATCACTTGGTCTTTCGGAAGCTCGGTCACTTGGCCCTTACCCCCAGTCGGCCTTTTCTCACCTCTTTCTCTCCAAAGTCTAACGAGAGAAAAACAAACAAATATGATTGAAATTAGTCAATTTTTTTGATTTCGACTTTCGATTCTCCTTATATAACTGCTTATCGCTGCAAATATTTCAGCTTGTGATCAATCAAATACGTACCTTCTATGTCAACAATTTGGGTCCCTTGCGTATGATGTTGTGGCAGTGATACTTTGTCACACGTTCGGTTTCTTGTGGTTTCAGTAATTTTGAACTTAGATGATTCAATGTTTCCAGCCTTTTTCATTCAAAATCTCAGATTTTAAATCTGTTGGTCAAAAAAAGACATTGAGTTCTTGATTGAGATAATGGTGAGTTGGTCAGAGACACCCCAACAAAACAAAGCAAAATTAATTGCTTGTTAAAACAATTGACATGAAAATTATATTGTGAAAATCCAATAGGATTCCTACGAAGACTTTTGTGCTTGAAACACATTTAACAAGCTGACACAGTGACGTTTGTCAATTGGCCCGGTCACTTTCAGCTCAATTTGTGGGTATGTCAATGGTCGTATTATGAGTGTGACTAAGCACAGAGGAACATGGAAATCATCAGAATTTGCATCGCCTTGAGATTGTCATGATTCCTATTCGATTCAATTGACCACTCACACCATTTATGACAGAGATTGTGTATTTGCTGCTGAGTAGGACTGAGCTGAGCTAAATTTGCTAACTCAGGCGCCTGAAGCGTTATTTTAACGCATTCACAGTGAGATGATGTCACTG